AAACATGGACTTGTAGATTTCGGTGTCTGCGATTAGAATTATTTTGCATTATTCTAGAAATCCCGTACTTAAAGAAGTACCGTTGCAATAAAAATACAGATTTAACCGCAAATGTTTTGCGGGTCTCTGCTACTAATTAAAAAATTAAACATATATGATACATATACATGTAACATAACCAGAGTATTCACATTTACTACCAACGTACAAGTGAAGTAGAACGAAACAGAATGTCTTGTATGGTTAAAACATAGAACATAATAAATTCCATTTGTAATAGTGAAGTCACCGTATGACTTTGTATAGGAATTTTCGGAAAAAAATCCAACTAAATTATACGGTGGAAAAAATTATTGTAATTTAAAGCTAGCGAAACTTTAATACGCTTTGAAATTTTGGGAATATGTTGATGTATAAGCATGTTTTAAGTAGTGAAGAGATCCGTGTTTATATCGTTTTAATATTCATAAAACGAATCATTATATCTTCAATCCGTTTGTATTGTCGAGCACTTTGAACATAAGTGTAATTCTAAACAAAAAAATATTTGTGAGGTTATAAAAACACATTTTTTACTGTTTTAACTTCTAGCTATAAAATGTACAGTTTGAATACGATAATTCGTGAATCTTTACAACTCTGTAGAAGTAAAACGAGGAAGAGATTTAAGTAAAATATATTTTTATCTCCTTTACTCATTGTGTTGGTATTAAAAAAAGCTTATATTTCTGTAACATGTGACTATATTGGTTACATCACCTGTATTAGTTTATAGCACTTCCATAAAATATTTCCAAATATCATTCTACTGAACAATATTTCTCGATATTGATTTTTGACGTCACACGTCCTTTACAGTTGCTATTGGTTGTATGACAGTAGGAAACTATTAAATACTTGAAAGCACTTGAATTATCAGTGGAAAAAAAAAGCTTTGGTTAGAGAGCTATAGATAGAACTTTCAGTTTTCTCCACGTGATATTTTTTTCCACCCTGATTATTCCATGCATTCGGAATGTAATAATGTGATTTGTTCTTCCACCAGCACACGCTTTCCGTGAGCCTTGTAGCTCTCGTGCTATTCCCAAACCAGGTTATCAATTCACCACTAGGAGACCTACTCGTTACTCTGGAAGTTCCGAGTTAGGGGGATGAATATTTTACTAATTAATAGCCTGTAGTTATATGAACATTGATGACATTTCGTATAAAGCTATAGGCTGCTTCGGTGTTCTCCGCAGTCTTGACGTTTCTTGCAGTGTCTTGATGTGAACAAAAATTATCGTCTTCCGAACTTTCTGATCGTCTAGTTTTCCCCCTGTTTTAATTTTCATAATTATTAATTACTAGTGGTCTGCCCGTACTTCCTGTTTCTTTATTGCTTTGATATTTGAATATGGCTACAGCTCGATTCTATGTTGTATTACTGGTATGTCATGCTGTTGGTTTGGGCTACGTCGGTCGGACCAGAAGACCCGAGAACTGGCCGGGTATATTTAAATCCTGCGGAGAGTGTTTCGGACGTCACCATAAGAGTAGGTTTTTCTGTATTAACCTTTAGACAGCAGATATATTATTGAAATCTTTTGTTATTGATTGGCGGCTTATTAAGGTCTAGCATATCTAATTTTTAAAATTTGGTGTATTTGTTAATAAAGTAAGCTAACAAGTGTATCGATGTTTGTTTATGGAAAACAATCCAAAACAAAAGAAAATATATATAACTTTGGAGAGGGCATTAACTCTAGACTAAGTAATTATCTATTCCTAAAAGAAACTATATACATTGCCTGTTTTATGTTGTGCAGGAATGGAATAAAAACAATTAATGCCATTAAATCAATGTTTTTTTTTTCGGATTATACATGTTATAAGAAAGAGTCAGTGTGATGTATTAATATATGTTATCAAGTATGGTAATAAAAAACGTCAAATATGGTATTGCGTTTCATAATTATATTGAACAAATTTTAATATTAAAGTCAAGCTATAACGTGCACTGTGTTCACCATGTAATTGTCTTTTCATAGATGCTTAATACGTGGATGAATAGCATCTTGTGAGAGTCATTCAAAGCGAGCATTTTGCTTTAAACATGTAACCCCAATCTTGGGAGTACTGAATGTTAAAAACAATAACAGTTCAAATCCTCTTGCCTATCATTTCAGAAACTCCTTAATATAGATTTTGAAAGCTAGAAAAAAACGCGTTTGTAGATGAGGATTTTAGGTTGTGTTATAGAAATACTGAATGCAAGTCTAAAACGGTTATAATTTCATTGTATAGGTTATTGGTTAGGCCGAATTTGGAGTATTTTGTTCAGTTTTGCCCTCCTTACCTTAGGAAGGACATTGAATTATTGAAAAGTGTTCAGAGGAAGAATACTAAGATGATACCTGGGATGGAAAGGTTGTCATATGAGGCCAAGTTAAGATCTCTGAAATTATTTTCTCTTGAGAAAAGAAGTCAGAAGGGATCTAATTGAGGTGTATAAGGTTGTTAAGGGAATTGATAGTGTTGAGGCGTCATCTTTTTTCGTACTTAATGATGAAAATGGTAGGTCTAAGGGACTCGTATGAATTTTGACAGGCTAAGAGTCATCTTCAGCTGAGATAGCTGTATTTTTCTAACAGCCTTTGGAATGGTTTGTCTTTAGGTGTGTTGGAATAAGTAAGTTTAAGGGAGTTTAAGGGTAGGCTTGATAAGTATTTGGGCGATAAGGGCCGGCTTTGAGGTTATATATATGTGTGTGTGTAGTTTAGTTGGTGGGACAGCCCAGATGGACCTACAGGTTCCTTGTTGCACTTAAATGTTATGTTCTAAATAAGCATATTAATGTGTATATTGTGATAAACCGTAATCTTAAGTGTTACATAAATCTGATGTATCATACCACAGTTCACCAAAATAAAACTCTTGTGTATTTAAGTACATTTTAAAAAACTCGACAGAACATTTTCAGCATGTTTCAAAGGATCGAAATACTCCAAAGCCTAACATTTCATTCATTAGTAATTGATGCACTTCTCTAAGGACTAAAGACAAGTTAATCAAATTAACGACTTTATTTCTGGCATGTTCTTTTTTTTTAAATATTTAGTAGTTAAAAGGCAACTTTTTCAGTGTTTGTATTGGAGAAAAGCTTGAATACAAGATTTCGGTCTAAAGGATTTGAGCACTCACTCGGCGAGCTGGAGATAGTTGAATTCACCTGAAATTTTGGTGTGTCATTATATAGCCTCATCCTAAGAAAAACTGGACAAACTCGACCAGTTATGATTGTTATTGTATCATTTTCTGACATTCATGGCTTAAATTATAGAGGGGTTGTTGAAAAGGGCTTGATAACGTGTGTGTGTGGTCCTGCGGATGATTCACTAAGCCTATAACGAGGTTGTTGTCTCGCTCCTAGCAGCTGCTCAACCGGTTTCTCTGCCGATTTCGTAGCTTGTCTCTGTTCTCGAATAAAATCCATCTATCTGTCTGTCTGTCCATCTACCAAAAACAATGAATAAGGATTGTAATTTTTCCCTTCACATACAATGAAAAAATTGAATGTCACACCAGTTCAAAGGTTTTAAGTTTCTTTTTTTTCTTATTATTTTCAATTAATTCAGTGATACAGACACGAGTATGTATTCTATGGTTGAGCGGTACCCGGAATACAGTTCGAAGAATTTGTTTGTTTGTAGTTAAGCACACAGCTACACAATGGGCTATCTGTGCTCTGCCCACAACGGGTATTAAAACCCAGTTTCTAGCGATGTAAGTCCGCAGTCGTACCGCTGTGCCCTTCGAAGAAGAAACGACATTGAAACTGAGGTGTTATTTGTAGTTTTATTTACTTCATGAGAGAAGATAAGTTTACAACTACAGAGCATGTACTGAAAACAACCAGCTAAAGTGCTAAGTCATTTGTTAATCACAAACATATCTGTGAGCCCTAGAGTAAATCATAAAAACAAAGTTTATTTCTCCTTAAACTTGCCGTCTGTTGTACTCAAGTTAACTGTTGAATTTAATTTTATTCGCCGCAAATCGGACTGTTTTTACAATGGGCATAAATGTAACTTTGTTTTTAGTTAACAGCAAGCTTTATGACTAATCATAAACATACCAGAAGTAGTCGGAGAATAAGGGGTCCTGTCTTCAATGTTAAACAATCATTAAGGGTGTTTGGAACTTGCTCAAGTATGTTAAGCTTAACCAGGGGTTGTAGGATATATTGTACGTATTTCTCTCTCACTTTGTTGCACAGCGGTATGTCTGCGGACTTGCAACGCAGAAACCGGGTTTCGATACCCATGGTGAGCAGAGCACAGATAGCTCATTGTTTAGCTTTGGGCTTAACTTCAAATAAACAAACAAAACTCTCTCAGTTTAATAACCACACTTATGAATATCTAATTTTTTTATTTATTTACTGCTACAGACTTAAACGATAACCAAAGGATGTAAGTTAACCAGGGGTTGTAGGATATATTGTACGTATTTCTCTCTCACTTTAATAACCACACTTATGAATATCTAATTTTTTTATTTATTTACTACTACAGACTTAAACGATAACCAAAGGATGTAAGTTAACCAGGGGTTGTAGGATATATTGTACGTATTTCTCTCTCACTTTAATAACCACACTTATGAATATCTAATTTTTTTATTTATTTACTACTACAGACTTAAACGATAACCAAAGGGTGTAAGTTAACCAGGAATTGTAGGATATATTGTACGTATTTCTCTCTCACTTTAATAACCACACTTATGGATATCCAAAATTATTTCTGTAATTACTGCTACTGACGTAAACGATAACCAAGGGATATAAGGTGTCCCCATTTTTTAAGACAGGACTTACTTTTGACCGCAAGATTCTCTTAAAACAAACTATTGATAAATTATCTATCTTCGTAAAGATACAAATATTAATGACAAATTCAAAACTTGAGTAAAAGTGAATTCTTCTTTTAAATATGAGTGTTCTAACGTTTTCTTAGGACATGTCCAAGAGTTTAGCTGCGGTCAACTGTATTACAAACCATTCTATTTGGACCAGAAGAGAGAGGTTCTATACGTCGGAGCTATGTAAGTATACGACTTTCGTTAAACTTGTCTGTTTGAAGATAATGAGGAGAAAAAAAACGCTAGTCATAATGTAGAATAACCAGTTTTTATATTTCATCTGTGTTTTTGTTCGTATACTGCTACTTGTTACATTTCGAACGTATTCAACCACATTAGATTCGCCCTTTACAATGCTAGAAACCGGGTTTCGATACCCGTGGTGGGCAGTGCACAGATAGCCCATTGTATAGCATTGTGCTTAACTTCAAACAAACTAAATCATTCGGCCTATTGGTTTTCTTTACCCCCCTCCCTTGTTAACTGCTACAGTTCTTTCACTGTTTCATAGAAAAAATGTGGGTCCCGTAACTAAACGAAGAACTTAATTCATTAGCTTACTTTCAATCATTATCTTGAGCACCATAATTTTCAGTAATAATAGTTCGCAGTTTTCGACAATGAAGCCAAAGTATCCATGCATCTAACACAAAGTTTAGTCTTTACATATTTTATCAAAACACTTTTTGTGTAAAATATTTTCTCTTTAGTCTTTCGCTTAATTATATTGAACGACCAAAATACTCCACGCAAAATATTGTTCCTTGCTCCACTTTCGTGTATTCAAGAAAATATTTAAACTATTGACATGATATTAATTAGTATGCTTGATCCTTGGGTCGAGTCCCGTTTCCTTAAAATGGAACTCCGCAATTTGGGATCGTTTATAAGAGTGACGTTTAAATGCTACTATTAGATTAGAGTAGCCCAAGAGTTGGCGGTGAAGACTGTTGACGCGAATATCCGAAACCAACTAGTCAACAACTTGTTTGTATCGTGCCAGACAAACTTTAACATAAAGGTAACTAAGAATTTTCCTCTCAGAAACTAAAAGAAAATATTGTGTAAGCTCCGATTAGAAATTAGATTTTCAGTAATTAAGTATAGATAGTAACTTTGAACTTATTTTCTTTTACTAGTTAAACATATTTGATTCAGATAGTAGGTTTCTCTGACAGACTCCGTGGAAACGTTGCAGTACTCCTGATTACAGACACCACTATGGTATTAATTAACGTTTGTCAGGGTAACGCAAGTAAGGTCTTTGTCCACTGTTATCGTTGTTCGCAGGAAATTAGGAGGGGGGGGGGGCGGAAGGATTGTTTCAAATAGAATACAAGAAAAGTTCAAACAGAAGTGAGGTTATAATTAAGTTAAGAATACTGGGTACTGCAATTTAGTGTTAGTACACAAACATGGTGGAAGCTACATTTGTTATATTTGCTGTTATGTTACTCTTTTATATTAATAGATGTTTTGGATGTAATCTTCTACCCAAGCGATAAAGTTAGTATGATACGGCTACGGCGTTATTAATTTTATACAATAAAATACATTGCATATTGGATGATTTTTTTTTACTAATTACAAGGGACTTACGAAGAATTTCAAATAACTACAAGAAGCCTAGTCTTGATTTCGATTTGCTCTTGTCCAGGGTTTATTGATGAGGGATGGAATTCCTCCAAACTGGTCTAATTCAGTGGCAAGTGGAGAAGCCAAAAGTATACTGGACTTCACATTTATTTCTCGCCGAAATCCGCAATTTTGGTGTTGAGACGAGAGACAAATTTTAACTAAAGGCTTGATGATGGTATGTTCAACTTTTAAAGTTTTTCTTCTAACAGAAGTGGTACAAAATAATAGCCAATAATACACTAACTCTCTGTCGTAATGTATGTACAAAGTGGTATTAGTAACCTTAGGGGCTGGGTGTGGCTTATTAATTGGCACGTCGGACTGTAGAACTGAGACTCAGTTGCTCAAAGAAGAAGAAAAAAATAATCAGGCTCGGCACTTTGATTGTGTTACAAGAGTTAGCGGTGGATAGTGTTGACTAACTTCCCTCTATTGGCTCACGTTCCATTACCACAAAGAAGAAGAAAATCGCGCTCGGCACTTTGGTCGTGTTACAAGAGTTAGCGGTGGATAGTGTTGACTAACTTCCCTCTATTGGCTCACGTTCCGTTACCACAAAGAAGAAGAAGAAGAAAATCGCGCTCGGCACTTTGGTCGTGTTACAAGAGTTAGCAGTGGATAGTGTTGACTTCTGTCCTCCTGTTGGCTCCTGTCCCGTTACCATGAAGAAGAAGAAGAAAACAGTTGCTTTCGGCACTTTGATTGTGTTGCAAGAGTTAGCGGAGGATAGTGTTTGTTGACTAGCTTCCTTCCCTCTATTAGCTCGCATCCCATTACCACGATGAAGAAGAAAACAATCGCGCTCGGCACTGTGGTTGTGTTGCAGGAGTTAGCGGTGGATAGTGTTGACTAGCTGTCTTCTCTCATTTCAGAATTAATGAAGGCAAACGCAGATAACTCTTGGGTAGTTTTTTCGCAAAATCCAAGAAACACAGAATGGGTTGTAAGTCTGAAGGCTTATAACGCTAAACACCGGATTTCGATACCCGTGATGGCCACAGCACAGATTAGTCTATTGTGTAGCTTTGCGCTTAATAACAAACAAATAAGCAAAATATTTTGTTACATTCTACTCAGGTTGGGTACAAAAATATTTAGTTTTATCCGAAACAAAAACTATTCAGATTTGTAACCAATCACTTGAGTTACCAACAAATTAATGTGCAAATCATTTGAGTCACCAACAAATTAATGTGCACTCATGAAGCGAACTAGAAATTAGTGTTCTGCTTAATAATGATTGATAATTTTCCATAATCTGCAAGTGTTATAAAAAGTCATAATAACACAAGAAGTTAGATTGAATACCGTGTTATACTCCCCAGTGGCTCAACGGTAATCAGAAGATTATAACCTTCGATACCCGTGGTGGTCACAGCACAGATATCCCATTGTCTAGCAACAAATAAACAAACTAAAAAACAAACGTCATGCTACTAAAGTACTTCTTATTTTCGTTTCTTAAACGACATCACTTTTATTATAGTGGTGAATATTAAGTATTTATAACACTAAGAAAGGATAGTTTTGTCACGCAACCACATGTTACCAAATTTTGATTCTCAAGTTTGGTTGAACCAAAATCTACGTACTTTTAAATGTGCACAGTTTTTATGCTTGCACAGTTTTCCTATATGTTGTAGTACAGCTTAGTTTGTGTGAAGTGGTATGTTTTATAAAAATTGGTTCTGTCTTAATAGTTATGAAAAAAATTTACTCTAGGCTTGGACCGTAAAAGCAGAAAAAGTTCTGAAAGACTTTTTTTTTCTCTTTTCTTCTTACAAAATACATGTATGAATGTTTAATGATATCAAATACACAGAGTCGTCTATATGCTGAAGGTAATTTCATGTAAAATTATTCATAGTTTCTTCGTGAAGGATTTTACGAAATATAGCTGAAACTAATCAGGTACGTAACTCCGGATTCTACGTCTTGTGTAAAAAAAAAGTAAAAAAAAACAAGCTTAGCTGTAATTCCCTACAAAGCCATGTACAGCATTGACAAAAATAGAAGTTCTTTGTTTTAGTGATTCGTAATCAGAGTTAACTTTTTTTTTTATTGTTAGTTACCTACAAAGAAGCGACACAGGTTAAAACTAGTAGATTGAAATGTAAGATTGTGTTTGTTATATAACATGACATATTTCTCTTTGTTCAAATTTGTGTTTAGGTTTTGATTAGTTCAAGTAAAATAAGCTACAGAATATCTCGGTGGGAAACACGACTCCCCTCAGCATGTGTGAGGAAACGTAATCAGTTAATCATAAAGTAGTAGAAAAATGCGAAGATGATAAAATAATGAAATTAGACTTTAGAGAAAAATCACAGGAACGTTCTGTAATTGTCATTAACCGATAGGCTTGTTTCTGGTTTGAAAACGATCGTTTGCTCGAAACGTCGCCAAGTAAATAAATTACTACCATACTGTGTAAAGGTGATTTTTTCTCTAAAGTGTAATTTTAGCTAATGATAATGTATTCTGGAATGATTAGGGCTAGTCAAAACGTATATCGTTATTTTAGACAATAACAACTCAAGCTCAAAGAAGGGCATCAAATTTAGACACTTGTTGCCCCTAGTGGGCAGAGCACAGATAGCCAATTGTTTGGCTTTGTGCTTAATTACAAACAAAAACACTTGTTTTTTGTTGTTTTTTGCATTTGTTAAGTTTCTCGACTTGTTATTATGCACAGAAAAAGGCTAGAAAAGCATTTATTAAATGTTAATAAATATATATTAAGTAAAAAAAATATTCGAATTATTTTTCACTTTTCTTTTGGGCTAATGATTGTCTTATTTTGTTTTCATGTGTCATTTTTTTGTTATAACCAGAGACTTCAAAAGATAGAAATGACCTGAGCCTATCTGAACCTCTGAGAGGACCTGTGTATTAACAATAAAACTATTTCCTACGGGTATATTTTACGGTTTAAACGTCGAAAACTATCGAAGTATTATAAACCAGTATGCCTAAAATTTATGATAAAAAAACACGTAAGAAGTTTTCTTCCCATATATATCGTAATTTGACCATTTCGGATTCAAACTCAAGCCGCATATTTATATATTATTAATGCAGCATTGTGATTATCCAATTTTCTGATAATCATACTTGTAAATTTTGGTAGTATTTAACAATTTCTTTTAAATTCTCGACCGATTCCTGTTAGAAATAATTATGATCCAAATTATGTTTGTTTGTTATAGCGTAAATGCCAAACACTCACCGCGGGGAACTGAATTCCAGATTTCAGTGTTGTAAGTCCGTAGACTTACCGCTGACCCTCCGTATGACGTCCCTTAGTTTGAGTTATACGAAGTGTGTTATGGTTTATTTATTTATTTCGTGCAAAGCTACACGAGGGCTATCTGCGCTAGCCGTCCCTAATTTAGCAGTTTAAGGCTAGAGGGAAGGGAACTGAATTCCAGATTTCAGTGTTGTAAGTCCGTAGACTTACCGCTGACCCTCCGTATGACGTCCCTTAGTTTGAGTTATACGAAGTGTGTTATGGTTTATTTATTTCGTGCAAAGCTACACGAGGG